ATGTATAATTTACGTTTACATTCCATTAAACTCAATCTGTCAATTCAGGATACAAAATGATAGATTCTTGTATCAGTTTCAGAAATATAATATTTACATAATATTATCTTAGTTCAATCTCATAATTGCGTAACAGCGGCATATATTTTTTTACAATTTTTATCTTGATAATTTTCTATTTTATTTTTTGCTTGTTTTTTACCCATTCAATAGTTTGATGAATCATGAAGAAAAGGCTATTAGATTTTAATTGCAATTAATCGTAATTTTTCATAACTATCCACATAAATAAAAACTCAAGAAAATGCAATTATAAGTTGTAAAACTTGCAGTGTTTAATAATACCATATTTATTTTTTATATCATATTTGAACTTAAACAGATTATATTTTTAATATAGTGATGTGCAGGTGTGTATAGGTGTGCGCGCACATGCGTGGACGTGTAGGTAAAGATTAATGACATTGCAATTGGTTAAGAGGGCCGAATTAAATAATGACGTAAATTATATGATTAAAAATTGGCGTGTCATTAGTTGAGCCATATCTGAAAGACTGAAAGCAGGCAGGATGTTATGTTTTAAGAAAACGTGGTAGAAGAACTGACGGAATCAATTATTCATTGAGATCATCAGCGATCACAAATAAATTGCAGATTAATCATAATTTTCCATATAGATGGATCATTATATGATATAACGACAATCATAAGAATCGAAAGAAAGGAATCAGAGTGTAAATTTCGATTCAATGATTTTAATTTGTTTGTAGATGAGAGTAATAATTGAAACGCACATCATGCGTCTGCCCCAAGGTCTTTTGATAGACTGTCAGACTATTCGATCTATTAAAGTACATCGCATAAATCATTCGCTGTTACAAGGCAATTAATCAAGTTCTGAATTATACTTGTCTCGACTCGCATAGCCCACGGTGATTCCCATTATGGAATCTTTTTACAATTTCTGACTGATATTAGCACGTTGCAAAAGACAACGCAATCACTCGCATCCAACGAATAAGTTTAACGCGAATAAAATAATTATGAGTCGTGCTAATTATAATAATTTTTCGTACTCACTTGAATATTACACGAGAAAAATCTTCTGGATGCACCAATACACTTGTCATGACCATTATCACTGCAACATTATAAAATAAATGTGTTACTGTGTGATAAATGATCGAGTCTGAAGTTAAAGTAAGAGTATTAGCTCAAATTTTTTATTACTTTTGTTACTTTTTTATGTATACAATTGTATATTTATCAAGTAATAAATATTATAAGAAAATCAAGAACAAAAGAAATAGGAATTAAAGGTTTATAACGGTCGAAGCTAGATCTTTGATGATTATAAAATAATGCAATATGAATTATACATATATGTACTATATATATATATGTACACACACACACACACACACACACACACACACACACACACAAAATATTTGTAGTCATTTGCGAGCGTCCTAGCTTCGATGGTCTAAAAGCTTAGGACGCTCGCACGGAATGCTAGAAATTCGGTTCAACTTCCAGCCGAGGTAATATATTTCGCAATAAATATATTTATTTATTGTGATTTTCATATATATTCTTTAATATAGATATCTATTGAGCATCAAAATTTAATTGTGATATTATTTCTGTATTATATTTCAGTATTTCAATATTTATATAGTTAGCTGCGTTTTTAAGTCTGATAAAATTTCGGCGCGCAGATCAAGATCACTACAAATATGGCCTATATGTATATACGTATATAGTATATAGTATATAATTCACATTGAATTATTTAATCATCAAAGATCCAGCTTCAACTGTTATATATATCTTCAATTCCTATTTCGTATTGGTTGTGTTCTCATGTGTACAATCTAATAAGATTTTTAATGTTTATAAGAATAAATCTTTGTGTAAAATATATAAAATTTACATAATTCTGCACTAATTAACTAAATTTAATCACATTTCTGTTTCAGTTATACTTCAAATATAATAGATATTTATTCATTCGCTTAATCAAAATTCGCACTGATCATTATAATTACAACACTGTAGAAAACGATATCATTAATAATATAATGGAAGATAAATAATTGGATTTGTTTAACAATTAACATACAATTAACATAATAACTATCCGAAGGACAAGATACATACATATGCAATATGTAACAAAAGGGACAGTTACATTAATTGGTTGCATATACATTAATATTGCAAGATGCATTCTTTACAGTCCGCGCGTTTTTTATAATTATTTCTCACTTTAATTTATTCTACTAGATTACATTTAGATTTTGCTCATGCGTTTCAAATTTTTATTCTTGTCAAATTTGATAAAAAGTGAGTTATGATAGTAAATTCTCTACTGAAATTTATCTTTTTAATGAAAAAGTTTCTTTACAAAAGAAAAATAAAAAAAGGATATAGATAGATTTTTCTACCTCTCTTAGTTAAAAAACATGTAAATTAGAAAATCTGTAAAAATGAAACATGATCAATAATGGCTTATATAATATTCTGCACGAGTGTCACAAGTTTCCTAGGACAAGATTAAGGACCATATTAAGAGATTATCGCTTTATTAAATTTCCAAAGTATTCTGCTAAATATTGTTTACTTATTTCGCAACTAACATAAAAAAATTTTCTTCCTAAGAGAGCTATCACTTTTTGCTCAATAAAATTGTAGTAGGAGTTTCAAAATTTACATAGTTACAATTTACAGCATTACATGTGTTTTATTAACGTTATACATACAATTTATGTACGTAAATAATTATATTGTATGCATTTTCGAAGTTTTATTATATTTATTGCTGACGTTACACGTCGTTAACGGTAATATTGTATTATTTAAAGACACTTATTTCAGATCACTTTTAATATGAATATGAAACTTAAAAAAAGATACAATTATATAACCATAATATTTCCTTTATTGATTTTTACTAAATTCGCAATTTCTAATTGATCGAAACTATATATCAAGTATAGAAACAGAAAGTACATCATATACAATTATCATAAAAATAATTTCCTTCGTTTCCTTCGCAATTGAATAGTGGCCAATACATTCATATTGACCTGTGTGACACGATGCATTCGATGTGAGGAGTCTAATACGATGCGCCGACATTATGTGCATTACGCGCTTTCACATTAGGTACGATTATCTCGCTTTCTAAGATCCATAATGTATCATTAGCGATGAGCTTGTTCCAATCGGCACTATATAATACAATGTCATTAATCGGTCACTCTTCCAATTTCTAACTTTACGTACATAATCACAGCGCGTGAAAATGAACTTCGTCTTTACGATGGAAAATTGTAAGAATTTCCCGGAGATAGCGTGACGTGTAAGTGCCTACGATTAATCTTTCCTTAGTTTCGAGATAAGAAGGATTTACGAAGGATCTGTTACGTTGGCATGTGCTAGGAGAAAAGTTTTGTTGATTTATCCCAAATTTAATCGCGGCTGACGTACGGTGGCGCATTGTAAAAAGATTTGGTTAACGATTTCGTGTATATTATATATAAATATATATTA